TTTTGGTGGGTAACATTTCTTATGTTTGAAAATTAATAAGTAACATTATTTTTCAATTATTAATAATGTACAACAGTAAATTAACCAAAAATATTTGACAATACAGACCATTCAATAATTAAATGGGCACTGAAAACACAGCATTAAATATTATGAATTCAAAAACGTAGTATTTTAAATAGTCTTTAAACTGATAATATGTAATAAATGTATAGTCTACTAAAACTTTTTTAAAGTTCATAAAACTGAAAAATTTTAAATAAATAATACTTTTAATTAATAGTACTTTACTTTTAAATTCAAGAAAAAATACTTTTATAATTTTTTATAAATGTTTCTCAAAAAACTATTAACTTTTCCTTTTGGGATAATCTGGGATCATCCATTCACTTGTATTTCTTTTATTTATTGCTTCCTTCTTGAATTTTATAGATGTTATGTTAAAAAAATTGAAAATTCATTTAATATTGAAATCGATGATAAGAGATAACTGAAATAAACATTCGAGTACAAATTCAATTTTTCACTAGTTTATCTTTTAATAAAATTAAAAATTCAACTATCTCAAAGAAATTAAGATTTTTTTTTTAAAATTCAAATAAATGACAGATACAATTTTAAAAAAATCACAGAAATTATGATATTTTAGATTTTCTAAATCTTTAAAAATTACATGAAATTAATAAAATTAATTTCTTAATTTAAATTCAATGCAGAGTCATGCTTTGATGAATGAATAATGTTATTGTGAATTAGCAAAAGTGAAAGAGAAAAATAAGGGAAAAATTAATCCTTCACACGAAGTTCTTTGAAAGAGGTCTGTGGGCACATCAGGTTTGACATTTTACCTTATTTTCTAAATTCTGAAAATGGCAGAAAAGGTAATCATTATAATAGCCAACCTGTTCTTTAAGAGTTAAGAAACTCTGCATTTAGAAGTATTTGTCTAGGATAAAATAAAGCTTCTAACCCCCTCTTTTGAAAATCTTAATTACACGGTAACTATGTTTAAAATTTTAGAAAGGTAACAAGAGATGGAATTTTATAAATAACTGTGTTCCAGAAAATTAAATGAAAATATACAATTTTACTAGCAAAATTTAGTATCCTTTATTTGTCTCCAAAACTTTTTAACTTTATAAATACAAATAAGTACATTGCGTACTAAACTGCATAATATGGCACAACTTTTTTAATATTACAAAATCTTAATCCACAGTATCATTTACACAATTATTCCACAAGTATTAACACAGTAACTTACACAAAAATATGAAAATATCATAAATCTTTCTAAGGTGATCAATTGCAAAGAATTTTTACTTAATGCTTCTACATATGAATGCATCTTACAAAATGATTATTATTATTTCAACTTCAGCAAGTTTGATTTTATAAGTAATAAATATAATACCTTCATTGTTTTTTCATTATATAATGATTTTTTTTTATTGGAACAACTTGTGAAAATGTACAAAGTAATCACATAGTTCCTACACTCATTTTACAATTCTTAACAAAACCTCCCATATATTTACAAAAATTAATTTTATCAGTTTTTATACCTAAAATCTCATGATTAAACTTGTCATCATCAACTCTGCTTTTAATATAAAATTTCACTTAAAAATATACATAACAAATTTGTGCATGTTGTGTGTTGTATTAAATGTTAAAATAACTTCTTAAATTACATTTTAATCATGTAAACTAAAATTAATGAACAAAAATTATTCCATTTAAGCATGGTTTAAAAAATATAATCAAAATATTTATATGTATCAAATAGATTCATACATTGCATGTTCCTCAATGCACTGTTAACTGAATGGACCAATCTAAAAAATAGTGGTGATTCATCCGTGCTTACATTCCTCGCAATGAAACAGACTGACTTCATAGGTATGAAACAAATTCACAGTTTAACAGATATTTGTAATGTATTAACTATGATTAGGTTAAAAACAAAGTAACCTACCTAACGCATGTTACGTTCTTCTCAACATATAATTTAGATTATATTGCTTATTTCAGAAAAGCACTAAAGAACTAACTCTGTGATTAGCAAGGAGCTTTTATGAAGTGCATCATTAAAAAAAAAAAAAAAAAAAAAAAAAAAACACTGGCTTACATTTATATTGTATGTGAGAAGGAAGACATGAAAACCTCATGCAGTCCTGGGCAATTCCTGAATTCAGGATGAGCTACACCAGTGACTAATTTATCAAATATACACAAAGTTAATGAACATTTATGGGGCCATATTTTTAATCAATTATAGTAAAGCACAGGAAGGCTTTTAAATCCCCCTCATGCTGCACAGATGACAGATTTCAGATCGGTGAGCCAATAGCAAAATCTGTCACATGATATGTTACATACAATATAAAGTAAAAAATTCGAATGTCAAATATCCAGAATGATCTAAAATCTGGATCATCAGCAACTCTTTTTTTCCCCCTTCTTTCAGAACTTTGCTACATGCTTAATGCAGATTTCATACTTTTTCATACTAAAACATGTTACAGGGTCTACAATCTTAATTTCACTTCACCATTAAATACCTCCGTGTTAAAGAAACATAGTCATTTCACAATTACACATTTATTAGCATAAATGAAATAATAATTTGGCTTTGTGATCTGATGAATAATTTGGCTTTGCCTTTTTGCTTGGGATATATATCAAACCAAAATATTCTACTTCAAACATTGCTGGTTTTAACCTGCTGCATCCCTAACATCAACCTAGTGAATAATTTATTATTATTATTGTTTTTGCTTTCATCACCACATGACTAGCAGCATATAGCACGTTGAAAAATGACACACACTGCAATGTCAAAAACAACTAAACTGAAAAAAAAAAAAAAAAAAAAATCTGTAACTGACTATCAAACAGCATGGTAACCTTTTATGTTGGCATTACACTTAACAATGATTACAGACTTCAGCCAACTGCCCTGTGAAGTGCTGAGTGTCTTGACGAGGACAAATTTAACAGAAATTTCTTTCCATATGGAAAAAAAAAAAAAAAAGATATTATAAATGATATTCATAGGTTCCTTATTTGTTGTCAGATAAACAATAAGTATACCTAGAAATTTATTTGTTCATGATTCAGATAAGTTGAAAGCATACATGGGAAATGGATGCAAGTATAATAAACAAAAAAAATTAATATAATTCAGACTTAATATCTTCAGCACGCAATAAAAGCAAGATAAATTTTAGCAGAACTGCATATCTGCAATGTCCTGATATACTGGCGTTAGGGTATAGTGGCCACTAAACTTTACGATGGCCGCCGCAAATTTAAAGGTTTTTCGATAGCAGAAAGCGAAAATTTTCAGTTACTGGAACTTGTGAAGAAGTGGCAGTACATGAAGATGATATAATAGATGTATTAATGCAATCCAATAATCAATCAACTAACAAGACAGCAAAACCTGTATTAGGATTCCAAATACAGAAAATTTCACTCCCGATAGTAAAAAAAGTGACACAAAATTTGCTGAGAGTGAAAAATTTTCTAATGACAATACAGTAGGAATTTTTAGCTTGATAATTACAGAACTTTGTAACTGAATTAAAAATTGTCTATAATAATTACAGGACTTAAAATTTGTAATTGAATAAAATACTGTCTATTTATAAAATTACACAGAAAGTATTAGCACAAAAAACAAAACAACTTGAACAACTTACTTGAAAGAAATATTGAATAAAGCAAATAAATAAATACTGAGTTTTTATTATTATTATGATTTTTTAAGGTCCTAAATAACTATTTCCAATTTTAAAATTTTATAATTTTTACATGTCATCTTACTAGATTTAAATTGATGATCTAAAATCCTGAAAATTCCCATAATTATATATATATGTAAAATAAAAAAATGCAAATCAAAATTATAATTTAAAATGCATCTTAACTGCTCATTTTTAATTTGGGTACTTTGTCTCTAGTAATAATTTTCTCTAAACTGCGTCATATCTGAAAACATATTCTGCATTATGTCATCTTGAAACTTCTGCATTGCCTATAAGTTTTAGCCAATCAGATTAATGAAAAATTTAATTTAAATATTGTAGCAATCCTACCCCACCCTCTTTCTCTGTTTGTGCTTGTTGGCTGAAGGAAATCTCTCGCTTTGCTGCTTTTGTTTAAAATGTAATGTGCCATGATCAAAATTGGGGGGGGGGCAGATTGCCCCCCATTGTGAAGTGCCACAAGTAATAAAGGTACATTTGGAATATCAAGTGATTTTTGTGATTCTTATAAAGTTCCCAACTGCCAAACTAAACCAAACTAAATTTTATCATATATATATATATATAGATATAGATATATATAATGAAACTGCGATACGATGACACGACATGAATGATTTGATTATGTATACGGCACAAACTTGCATCATTAAAATTTTCGCTGAAATAGGACTTTTCCCATAATTCACTGTGAACATAGACTAACAAACCCGTGTAGATTTCTTCATAATTAGAACTGGCCAAAGAATGTAATGGAAGTACAATTATGGAGGCATTGAAATACGAATGCTGAGACGTAGATGCGTAGAAATACTAATTGCTTCAGAATACTTGATGCTGAATACTACTTCAGAATACTACTAGATACTTGATGCTGAGAGCATTCATCCATTTTGAAGAAGAAGCAGTCGAGACAGATTAAATTCCTTTTTTTATTTAAATTTTCATTTTGTGGCCACAATTCACTTGGCACTCTACTTGTGCCTATTAAAGAACATTTAGAATTTTGATATTATTGCCATAGAAGCGAAAGTAGCAGCACACACATTGCAGAAAGGCATCTGGCCAATAGGAAATCACAAGCAAAAGTGACACATCCGTTCATAGAAAGAAGGAAGGGAGTCAAAAGTTTCAGTTTTTAATTTTGGTTTACAATTTGGTGATTGGTCAAGAGGCATCTGCATTAAGGGTTACGTAAGATCGCATGATTTATTTTAATGACACAGTTTAGACTTACAGCGCTATTTTTAGGTCAGATAGATGAAGTTCCCATATGAAATAAAAAATGAAAGAGGTTATAGTGAATTAAATTTAGAAGTTCGCTATCATATTTTTTATCTTATTAATATTTGTTGAAGCATTCTCTACATTCTGAAGCAGATATTAAAATCTGCAAACATTTTGATCCCTTTCAAGGCAGCAAAACTATATATGTCTATAAAATGAACAAATTTAAAATTTCAATTTCAGAAGCTTTACTAATAGAACCTACATTATAACAACACATAAGGCAAGGTAATTGCATACACTACAAAACGTTGTTTCATAATTAAATTATCTCAAAATTCTGCATACACTACCCATATCAATATTGCTCAACTTAAGCCATTCCCCCCCCTAAAATACTTACGTCAATTAGAGATTTAGATACTAATTTATCACTAAAAATGATAATGAAAAACAAAATGAAAAGAGGATATTGATGTTTCAATTCAAATTATAAAATCATAGCAAGAATACATTCATTTTCTTTCATATCTAGAACTGTGCTTTGAATTAAAGTTTTCATAAAATGCAATCATCTCTTTACTTGTTCTTGGAGGTATACACTGTAAAGCCTTTTCAAAATGTCTCAATTTGAAAACTGGAGACATTGCATCAGGATCTTCCGCTAAAAGTTGAAAAACAGCTTCATTGCACAAGTTAACAATCTGGAAGAAAAATATTAAATGTATTACATGAAAATTACTTACCGATAAAATATATTTTCCATTTTTACTTTTTATTTCCAACAAATAAATGATAAAATATGAAAAATTCATAAATTACTTTATAGTAACACCAAAAGACCAGTTCTTCATAGAATCATAACGTCAAAATTATGTAACAATTATAGTATTATTTACAGTATGGAAATATCCTTACATTATAAAGAAAGAAATACATATTTTTAATAAAATGTAGTGTACTTTATAAGTCATATGAAAACAATACATAACACATGTAAATTTTTAAAAAAATATGAGTCAATATAGTTTTAAATTTAACATAACTCATAATTTAAATTAATCATTATAAAATATAATATTTCTCTGATTTTAAGACATGCAATTTATTCCACATTGCTAAAAATAATTGCTACTCTTTTCTAAATTACTTACACTGTATGTATATACTCTTATCATCAATAAAACAAAGCTGATAATTAAAAAAATATTTACTATATGTATTTTAGTACTTTATTTCCTTAATTTTTTACTTTTTCAAAGATCAAAATATTTTTGTTGATGGTATGGAAATTAAGCAGTGCATCTAATAATCAAAAATATTCAAAATTAATTTTGAGCAAATAGTTAAGTTTTGATTTCAATGAAATCACAAAATGAAAGAAAATTATTAATTAAAAGATTTCATGATAAACAAATTAAAAGTATTTTTTAAATACAAAATTTTAAAAAATGCTCCATTTGAAATGCTGTGAGAAGTATGTATGGATCTGCAAAGAGTTTTTGATAAATTAATTACTATACATCCCATCTTAAATCTACTCCTTAAAGAACAGATAATTCAAATTTGTTATTTTTAACATAACAGAAAAAGATACAGTTTTAAAAATACATTTAAAGAAGGAATGCAAATATCTATCCGAAATAAAATTTTTATTAATTATTAATCAGTTCTTGCATAAACTAAAGAATGCCCATATATATTTTTTTCCCCTTAAGATCACCATGGTACTGAGCTATGAATAGTTTAGTAAAGAAGGAAAGATACCAGTGTAACATAATATTAGGCCTTAAAACCAATCTCTCAGAATAAAATTAATAATAATCTTATGGCGACACCAATGCAAATCCAACATGTATCAGTTTTCTGTTTTAGAGAATTTATTGCATAGAATTTACTGTGTATAATAGTTTCATTTGTGATGAATCATTATGAAGACATTATTTGGATATCCCAAGCGATAAAGTAAGCAGGTTATCCATGAAACCTCTGACAGTATATTATTTATAAGATTCAGAGTTCACCAAGATTCAGTTGTGGATACCTGAGGCAGGCTGACTTAAAGAAGTTTTAAGGGTTTCCTTAATGCATAATGTAAATATGGGCAAATTTCCTTTTATATAGTTCTCTAACACTAAAGGTCTATTGAAAGGCAGATAACAATGGTGTACTATGCCATAATTAAATAATCCAATTCAGCTCTTCATAAAATATCAACAACCTGCAGTACAATAAGTTTATGCAGTTACTATCAGCTAATAACCTTATTTAGATTTTTATCATCACTATGAAATAGACATATATACATAATAGACAGCTAATTCAATCAATTCAAGTCTCAATATAACCAAAGTTTCAACTCTTTCAGCTTCAAAACTAGAAAAATCAATTTGTGAATATGATTAAAGACTTATATATGTTCAAAGCCACCTGACACACTGATGGTACATTTCATAATTCATTAACAAAATCAACAGATAGGGGAAAAAACAAGTACAGCTGATACAACAAAAAGTAAGTAAAACAGAAGATAAGCAATTAATAGATGAATTTAAGTGCTTCAGATACTTCTCAGCAGTTAAGTTAATAAAGTTTGACAGCTTTTAAGAAAATTTAATACTACTTTCCAGGTTCAAGAAAGTGAGTGTATTATATAAACATACATTGATGGATATTTAAAATATAAATATACAAACAGAAAAATTAAAATATTCTGTTGTAGATTATCAATAAGCTCTATTTTTAACACTTATGTGATGCATAAAAATATAGTAAAATGAAACAGAATCTAATCCAATTTGATGAGAAACTGACACAATGCAGCATCTGAAACTGCTTTCTAAATCTTTTCCATCATATATGTATGTTGAGAGCATTATTTGTATGAGAACAATTTAAAAGACTATTCCTAAAAAATATAAATATATATAAACACACTATAACATTTTATAAATTTTGTTAATTTCTTAAAATTCAGACTTCCAACTTATACGAGAATTTAGGAAAGTGGAAAAGACATAAAAGGATTCACAAAACATATTTTTATAATCTTTTCCCTAAAAGCTCATTATTAAACTCAGCACTAATGTTTAGTACTGAAACATGTCATAACAAAAGAGAATTCATAATTAAAAAATAAATCTTAAGATAATGAATCAAAAGACTGGTGTTTAAATTCATAAGGATATTAAAGTGAAATGTTCTGATGAAAAATACATCTTTAAAATATGCTTTTTGGTTTTACAGACAAATTAAAGAAAATAGATTATTTTTAGTACCCTTTTTTTAGTGTTAATTCAGTCATAAAATTTTTCTTCTCAAATATTTTTTGAATAAATAAATAATCAATGAAACATCTATCTATCCAACCTTTATGCAACCATTGGGCATAGACATACACTTCCAACTATAAAAATGCTTTAAATGGTATGAATACTAATGTTTTTGCATTTTTAAATTAAAAAAATATATAAAAATTACAAAATCTATTTTTATATGTTCTCACAGTCCTTATATTTAGGATTATTTTATACTTATAACTATTAAAAAAAAGCGTGGGATCAAAAATTGATCAAGATTTTTTGTTTTACGGGGCCATATACAAACTGTAGTAGATAATGCTTGTGCTTGTATGTAACTAAAAGATCAGTTTAGAAAAAACTTTCTGATGCTAATAGATTAAACAATGAGTATTTCTATGCAGGCTGTTATGAAAAATATAAATCAACATATTTGTTTTTTTAAAAGATCTTATTCATAGAATCTTACACAATTCTTGATCTAGAAAACACAGGGCGGCTTCAGCAATATTATTCACATAAATTAAAAATGAAAACATTTTTCGAATGATTATTAGATTATGAGTCTAAAGTAATAAACTTCATGAACATATTAATATATTTTTAGTGCTTGGAAACTTATAAATTACTAGTTACTAATATGAAAATACTTTCAGCATACCAACAGAAATATATATATATATATATATATATATATAAATTAAAGAATGTTACACACTAGTAAATCATAAGAGAATACCAATGGATAGCATTTATGGGGGACATCACACATTAAAAATGTTGACATCAACTATGCCAATTTTTGTTGTACAGGAGTCAAACTTCTATGCTTTTTATAATGAATATAAAGTTTTCCTTTCAGATCTTGCAACTGAAAATCCTCTTAGATCTTAATGAACTCATTGCAGTTGTGGTTCCTCCCATTAAATTATCATATACTCTATATGTAGATAAATATTTATATAACATTTTAGAAAAAAATATATGCAATAATATCAGTAAAAGCTGTTTATGATTTTCAAAATTTGTTAAAGCCAGCTCAAAAGTACAGCATACCAAAGAAATAAGAAATTTGTATACATTTTTTAATATCTTTTAAATCAACTTTTTATCAATAAGTAAAAATATTTAAAATATATAATAATGGCATATATATATATATATGTATATATATATATATATATATATAACAAGCAAGGTAGTTAGTACAATACTGTATGACCAATTTGGTCTAGAAAACATTTTGCGCAATAGGCTGCAAAATAAGTAAATTAGAAATTGCAGTAAGCTCGCCTAAAAGTTACCAGGAGCTGTGGCTCCAAAAAGTTCAACACATTTTAAAAAACAATGTCATTGAAGGGTGAGAAATTATGCTACACGAGAAAAGAAAATAAACACAGTAAAATCCTTAGTGTTGGAAACTAGTAATGGCAAAAAATACAGTAAAATACCTATATACATGTAGAATTTGACTTAATTCACAGCATAAGAGCACGAAGTAATATTTAAATGGTTTATTTAATAGAAAGAAATAAAAGTAAATAAGATAAAGTAAGTAAAGATGTAGTTAACGGTATGCAGGATTAACATAATGATGCACCAACAGTCCTTTTACACAAACATTCGTGCGTAGCTTCAAATAGTATAATCATCTAGTCATCACAGCTAAAGGCATAACATCAAAAGCACAATCTAAGTTCATAAACACTTGAAGACGTGTGAGCCGTCTGCTCACATCTGCCCTCGACCAGGTCTCAGTGCTGTCTGGGATGATTCTTACTGCGCTGGGTGATGCTATACTGATGACGTCATAATCCTGGTATTCTAATTCAGCATTGGACGTTGATGACTCCCACATACATATATATATATATATATTATAGAAGAAAGATGGAGGAAGAAGAGTGAGACAGAAAATATAAACGAAATAATGAGGAAATATTTATAAAATGACAAATAAAAGTACTTTTTAAAATCAAATGCAATCAGATAGGTACATTGTTCAAAATTAGACATACTTCTGCTCCAGTGTAGCCTTCCATTTTCAAAGACAGATATTTAAAATCTAAATCATGGATAACTCTGTTTCTCATTTGTATCCTAAGTATCTCTTCTCTTGCTTCTTGATCAGGTAAAGGTACATAAATAAAATCACTAATCCTTCCACTTCTCACCAGAGCCTATATATAATTTATCATTAAACAACTTTTTAATAGCATCCTCAAGGAACAGAGATTCAATTAAAACCATAAATAATTATAATAAAGTTATTATAATAAGTTATGGGCTTATTAATTTACATTTAATTATATTTAGAATTTTCTAGCAACATTAATTACAAATTATAAAAATGAGTATAAATTTCTCTAAAATTTTTTTTTTTGTCTTTAAATTTAGGAAAACCTATTGATAGTCTAAAAGATCTCACTACAGTTATAAGTGAGCAGCTGTTGAAGTATTAATTTGAAATTAATGATAAAAATCATTTAACCAGTCACCATTTTCTGCCTAACTGTACGTGCTTAGGATTATTGAGACTTCTATATGTGTAGGATTTTGAAAGGCAGTTCTGAATTTACCATGTTACTCATAATTCACTCTTTAGTTAACATAGCACCTATAATCTGACTTTTGAACCCTACTCTTAGATCCCAAAATATTAATTAAACAAAGCAATCATTGAAACACATGAAAATACCAGATACAGATTTTGAAAATATGAATAACGACATGTATAAGACATATGCTTAAGAAGATTATGTTAACCCGGAAGTCGCACCAAGAAAGGTTACTAGAGTGGGCGCATGGGGTATCACATACCCCAATATTTAAAATACTATAAAAATAGTTTTATTTAGTTTTAAAGCTGTTTTTCTTGTTCTCTTGTATTATAAATATGTGAATAATAATTGGGTTTCAAAAAATTAATTTCCAAAATAATCTTAGAGTTAAAATTAAGATAAATGAAAATAATAAAAAAATAAACATCAGCCTCTTAAGTTTCATTGCATCTCTAATACACAATGCTTATTTTATTTCTTCACACTTTGAATGAAATACGTTCATGTGCTCTTGGCACAGGATGTTTTCACATTTTAAACATTGCATTCCCGTTCTTCTGTCCTTAGCACGAGGACAAAAAATTTATCACATCTTTCATACTTAGTTGTTTCGAATTTCATGTATATGTTTTAATTCTTCGTCGAAACTTCTGCTTTTGTTTTGCATACAGTACGTCAGTTTCTTGGCAAAGTATTAATCTCTGATTCTTTGTTCTATACTTTTTTTTCATTAACTGTAATGCCTTCAAAAACAGACTTCTGTTTCTGGTTGGTGGATTAGCAGTTGAATGTAATATAATTCAAGCATTTATTACATTCAGTGCAGGAAAGAAAATTACCATTGGCCACCTCCTTGTTATTCTGGCAATTGAATAATTGGCTGACATTTCATCCCCCATATCCACTGCTCCTTTAGTCATATTATAAAAACATATAATTCCTGACGTTTTATGTTCTCCAATAGTATGATCGTTATATAATGTTGAAAGCATAAGAACAGTCTTTCCTTTTTTAGGAACATCAGGAATTAATCTTTTATCTTTTTCAAAACGAAAACAGTGTAGAAAATATTCCTAGTTTCATCTTCAGTTTCCGAAATGCAATCTTCATCGCTTTCAAATATTTCTAATAAATCTCACAGGCATTGCATTTCCAGTTCATAGGAAGTCCTTCTTCTTACCATAATGCAGTTAGAAATTTTTAAGAATTTAATGACAAGTACTTTAAAATTGCTTGCGAGTAGAAATATTTACTGTTACACTGTAGAAATAAATTTTTGAACTAAATATTCAGTCAGAAAAACACTTACGCGAACAGGCGCGTGGGGTGTGTCATACCCCAGTTCCAACAAAATACCGATAAATATTTTTCTGAAACACACAGGCAAAGAAAAAGCGGTTCTGAAAGTCAACCACAACTAGAAAACTCAGCTACTGAAAGCAGCACAGAATTTCAGTTTCACAAGTTAGGAATATTCCACTTTTATGTAGGATTGGGGTATGATACACCCCACGTGCTTTCCCGCGGGTTAAGCCACACAAGAGCACCTTTTCAGAAGAACTTTGAGGATTCATAACTTTTCAATTCCAAAATTTCGATTAAATATTTTGCTTAAAAATTTATCTTATAAAGTTATACGTACGTTAATTTATTTATTGCAGCTACTTTACAATAATTTAAAATGCATTTAACTGTAATATATTTAATTTATAATTTTCATAAACATTTAATGTAAATGTTTAAAGTAAAGTAATAAAAAAGGGGTACTACTTGATTTTACCAGGCCCCATGATAAACCAATAAACCGACAAATTATGTTAACTGCATGAAATTATAATAGTCTTTTTTCACTTTAAACATCTATGTACAAAGCGGCACTTTTTCTTTCACTTTTAACTTGTATTTGCTAAATGTGATGAACCGCAGCATATTGTAATAGCCTTTTTTCATTTTAAATATTTATGCAAAAAAATGGTACCTTCACTTTCGACTTTCCATTTGCCGAATTTTATAAATAGTACAATATTGTAGTGACCTTTTTTTTAATTTAACCCTCTGAGCTTTATGACTGGGTTTATCCTGTCATCAGAAGTTTTGCTACTTGGTATGCATTAGCTTATTTAGCTTATTATTTAAGATATTTTGCTTTCTTACTTTCTTTAATAATGTAAATATCATCTTAATGAATGTAAGTTTATGAAAATGCAGACTAAAATAAGTAATTATACAAACTAAATTAATAAATACTGTTTAAATACTGGTCTTCAAGATGGATCTAAAATCCTGTGCCACTCAAAGGGTTAAACATTGTAAAAAAGTGTCGAAAACTTTTAATTTACCGAGGAGTGAGGAAAATGTCATATTGTTTTCTCAGAAAAAAGACATATTACATCGCAATCGAATACACATAAATGCCACAAAATGAAATTATATGTAAACAAAAGTATGTGGAGTTGCAATGCGAAAAAGCCATAAACAAACAAACAAAAAAATAAATACCATATTTGATCTGACAACTGGTTTGGTGGTTGCAGAATATCATTCTTAACAGCTCTGCATGTCTTCTACTGTTGGGCAGAGGAACAGACATTGCTTAAGTGCACGATAAACAGCTCAACATATGTCAAAATACAACAAGTGACTGGAACAATTTTATGAGAGAGTTTTGTTTGCTAGATTTACTTCAGCAATCTAAAGAATTAATAAGTAGGTCTAAAAAAATAGTCAAAGTTGACGAGAGTTTATTCATGCTGTGCAAAACAACACTGGCAGGGCACTTCAACAACCAGCGGGTTATGCTATGAAAGTGGCAAATGCTTTCTTGTTCACGTTCTAAATTGGGAAGCAAGCACACTGATATAAATTACTATAGACCACGTAGTGGAAGGATTGAAAATATATTCAGATTATTGGCTTTGAAACAGTCATTTATATATAGCTTATAAAACAGATGAGCTTGAAAAGGCTGGTTACACCCATTTAACTGTAAACCACAAATTTAATTTTGTTGATACAACAATGGATGCTTACACCCAAAAGATTATGGGGCTCTGTTAAATGGTGAGACAAAAAGCAAAGTGGTATGGCCTGACATCATTCTAGAGTTGTAGCTTTCAGAATTCAAGTGGCGGAAATCCTCTGGGAAAGATAAGCCTTTTGATGCCAAAGCAAATGCAGAGATATGCCATCCACAAACTATACGCAGGTAATTTACATTTGGCTTTGCTGTTTTGATAATGGTGGCCATGAAAATCAAGTTATAACCCTTCCACCAAATTTTTTTTTCTAATGCTCTATAAATTATGCATGTGCTGTAAAATCATTTTCAGTATACATCAGTTTATTTTCAAAAAAAAAAAATAAATGCAAAAATTAATGCTTTTTTTTAATTAAAATTCTTTTGCAAATATATTTATCTGTTGTTTAAACTATTATTAACATAAATGATTAATATTTTTGTAATGAATTAAACAATTCCTCAGAATCTGCCAGAATGTTATAAATGTATTTTGAAACATTCCTGGCATACATTCAAGAATGACGCCAGAATTGGTGTAGTTACAGAGGGTGGCAGAATTTAAAGGCAGCAAAATTTTTAGAATTTAGAGAAGCACCAGACTAGAAAATTTAAAGACTTTAGGAGAGGCACTGGACATAAGAATTTAAGAGCGTCATATTATTAGAACAAGGTTTAGCAGAACTTAGGACCCACAGAAATTTCACTGGGCAGTAAAATGCCTATAGTACAGTCAAAAGTCTTTAATCCGGATTCGTCGGGACTTCGGCGATTCCGGATTATCAGTTTTTCTGGATTATAGATCATCAATTTAAATCTGGTAAGATGGCATACAGAAATTATAAAATTAAAAATATAAAACCGTTATTTATGAAATAAAGAGCAATTATGATCTAAGGAATATCAAAATTTTACAAAAAAAAAAAAAAGCTTAATATTTATTTGTTTATTTTATTAAACATTTCTTTCAACGCGCGCATGCGTAAAGCATACATTACACATAGTTGAAATTACACTGGTTATCATTAATTAAGGAAAAATCACAAAAATCATGATTACTGAAAAAGTTATATGTAGAATTTTATGAAACTTACACAAGATATACAACACATAGTAAGGTATCAAATAACATAAAAAGAAATTACCAGATAATTATGGTAGTATAGAAAGTAGCACATGTATAAAATGAACAAATCGAAGGTGTCAGTTTGCTATAGGAAAAGTACCTTCAATATAGAATATGATCACCTCTAGAAGCAGTACAGCACATACAGTGATGTGTGATGCTTTCAATTATGCGGTCTATCAGTTTCATAGGAAGTTATTATTAAGTCTATCACACTTAATTTTTTTATTCAAGGCCAATGGAAATAATAAAGATCTTTATTCACAATCCTAACAGATATTAATGCATTTCTAGTCTTATTTAATTATATATATATATAATTAAAGAAAAGAGAACAAACGATAAAAGACCTATGTGGTCAAAAACTTTGTGCATTGAGCTACAAAATTTAGAAAAAAGTTAAAAGAAAACTCCTAGTTCGTACGCTAAAAAGTTGTTTAGATACCGTGGTTTTATATATATATGACTGCACTGACAGATAAAGTGACAGACTAAACATCAACACATAAAAAATCTATAATGCATACAAAACTATTTTCCAATACATCAAGTAAAATACAGTTGCTTACATCATCCAACATATCAGGCCTGTTTGTTGCAGCTATTACAATGACATCGCGGAGTTCTTCAGTACCATCTATTTCAGTGAGAAGAGTTGTAACAATTCTATCCCCAACACCAGAGCCACTTGAACAATTAAAATAAAATTTCAAATAAAACACAAAATTAGACCAATGTTTTCAATATAAAAGGTTTCAAAACATTCATTTTCCCATCTGTACATAAAAAGTGATAATGATTCACATTATAAAATATTTTTTGAGACACTTACGAATTCCCAAATTCAAGGCCTAATAATAAGTAAGTTCTGCGTAAAACTAAAAGTAACTTATTTATGTGAATGTTTACTATGCACATAAATGAAATTTATTTTATCAGCTTACTTTCAAATACTGTAATAAAACAAAAATTAATAAAGAAATTAATTTAACAAGTGATGCAATCTCAGATTCTTTTAAATGACTTAAAGATATATTGGCATATATTATACGTCCATTAGTTCAGCAAAGAAAATTGCAACATGTTAGGAAAAGGTTCCTGTTAAATATTTTGCTATGTATTTTTTAAATAAAATAATTGCTATATTTAAAGATAACAATATTAAATATAAGGGGTGACTACTGTTCATCTGCCAAAAGTTTGTTGCATTAAAAAATCTGATACTGCTCTTCCCATACATTGTTATGTTGTTGTTCTATACATCATAATAGATTGAATGCACACATCTCTGGTGATAGGTTGGTTTGGTTTATGTAATTATAGCAAAGACTTCAGGACAATCTGTTAAAGGAAGGGATGCCTTCATGAAGGATTTTCTAAGGAAAACTGGCTCATACACAGGTTACACATGGGGAAAACCACAAAAACGCCCATGCAGCCAACTCGTTCATGAAATTTGAGGCTTGCACCGAACTAACAGTGTTCAGCGAATTTACCGCTCGGCCGCTGGTGGACCCCCCAGTGATAGGTTGATAAAATAAATTTTATCAACCTATCACTGGGGTTCCTTTAAAATTAATTTTATCAAAGGAATCTGAAGTGTTCCTTTTGATAAAATAAATTTTATCAAAATGAACACTTCAGAGTTATAGAACTTTCTACAAAAATAGCTGTACAACTCTTCACAGTATCAAACAGTACAATCAGTAGTTAGACTTCAAACTACTATAAACTGTAACAAACACAACATAATATAAAGCGCATTTAGAGAGTGAAGTCAACTTGAAGATATCTTAGTATTCTGACATATGCTGAACCAACAACCCACAACAGCAACAACTGAGGGCAGATGCTCTCTTCGGACTTACATAGTTTTTACCCAGCCACCAAGATATTTGTAGTACTTTCTGCTTTTTGAAATTGTTGGAAGGCATATGAGTGTCAGATATGGTTACAACTAATATAGTAACCAATTACATTTATTCAATTATAAGATCTATTTCGAAGAAACATGACCTCAAAAGTATCAAATGGAAAACCTTTAATCACATTGCATAAAACCAATATTATTAAACCTTTCCAAAATGAATTTAAAATTTATAATACTACAGCAATTTTTTAAATTTGTAACCCTTAACTTTCCAAAATTAAAAAAAAACTGTAGTTAACAAAAAAAAAAAAAAAAAAAAAAAAAAACTATTTTTGTGAATTTACTAAGCATGAAACAAAGCTGACTTTTTTTTTTTACAATCTAAACTTAAAGATAATATGGATGCAGAATTTATTTTACTTTATGTACACTGCTCAACACAAAAAAAAAAAAAAAAAAAAAAAAAAAAAAAAAAAAAAAAAGTCCTATATCTCCCGATCTACTGGGCCGATTGACAAAATTCAAATTGCGTTCTTCATGTCTCGAAAGCGTGACTTAGGATATATATTAGATTTATATATAGCACTATTCTAACATAGGTATTTTGACACAAAATCGGACTTTTTATGAAATAACATACCAATTTTATTTACATATTTCAATTCTACGACTCAAATTACGCCTAAATATGAAATTTTGTCAAATTTGGAGCGAAATTTACGGAGAAATTCACAAATTTATGTTGGCACTTTTTTGTCAGTTTGCGCCAAGAATAGTTCACTTGGCGAACTTCTTAATATATGGCAACCTAGTTTCCTTTTTTTCCAAATAATATTCTTTATATTATATTTTTAATTATAACTTATTATTTTAAGTAATTTTTTCTTTTTCGAATTTCATTTTAATTGTTTAAGTTGCATATTTTTTTCAAATAACTGTTTTAAAAATTTCTGTTTACCTATTCGAACTGCGTAAATAAAGGTACAGCGTTTATTTTTTTTTTCAAATAGTTTTCTTTATATATATTTTTTGTCATAGTTATTATTTTAGGTAATTTTTAAATTCTTATACTTTTATTTTAATTGTTTGTGTTGCATTGTCTCTTCAGATAATTGTTTTAAAATTTTCTATTTATTCCTTCGAATTGAGCATTTTAAATATATTTATTAATATAAATTTTCCAGAATTTGATTTTATTTATTTAAATTGCGTTTCTTTCGGAGGAATACTTTGTAACCCAGACTATGATGCGTTTGAAAACTGCATACATTGAAAGAGATAATACAGTAAAGCAAAGTTAACACGCCATTGAAATGTTCCATTCAGAAAAGATATATATAAATAAGAGAGACATTTAACTTAGGATTGCAACATTTTAACTTAGGATGACTTGCATACACTGCTTTAAACAGTTTTATCATTGTGCCCATTGCTTTACACAATTTTATCCTACATTTGGCTTCTTAAATGTTATTCATATTTTAGTCAAATATTTTATTTTTGAAATCGTAAAAATCAAATATCATAAGATTAAAAAGTTTTTAATTTAAAAGAAAAATACAAATACTAAATTTTACCATAAAATTTATTTTTTCTTATCTTTTTCTTCTTTATTCTTGCTCTTTTTCTTTAGGCATTCCGCAAGTATAGTAAAAAGCATCCAAATTTTCGAAATACCTTGATATTTCTGACAATCATTTTAAATAAAGTTATCGCCTTCCATTTCATAAAGGCCCACAAATGGCCGAGCGGTAAAGTCGCTGAACACTGATAGTTCACTCCGGGGTTAGAATCCCGGTAAACGGGCTGGTTACATGGGCGTTTTCGTGGATTTTCTCATGTGTATCGTGTATGCCAGCTGATTTTCCTTAGAAAGTTCTTCACAAAGGCATCCTTCCTTTTAGGCACATAGCCCTGCTTTGATGTAACTTAATAATTCAACTGAATCCATTTCATCAATATTTAGTCAGAGCCTTTATCAGTCTTTAGAGGCTAAACATTTTGAAGGTATGAGATGAAAGGAAAGACTGGTTTCATCAAAAGGTTTTGGTTTATTTAATTATGACAAAGCACAGTAGGGCTATCTGCCTAAGGGGAGGGATGCCTTCGTGGAGGACTTTCTAATGGGAACTGGCTCGCATACACGTTACACATGGGGAAAACCACGAAAATGCCCATGCAGCCAGCCCGTTCGCAGGATTCGGACCTCGGACAGAACTACCAGCGTTCAGCGACTTTATAGCTCGCCCGCTGTTTCATCAGGAGGAAAAAAAAAACATCTTTAGGTGACATCCACATACATCACTGGATAAACTCCTGAATCTTCAAATAATTCGAATGAGAAAATCATGGGATTCTCCATTTATGATACAATATGATGTTCTATAACGTAATTTAAATTTATACAACCATATAGTCTAAAACCATCCCTCTTCATTGCCTACAATTTCTTTTTGTTAACTTTTCATTAGCAAAGCTCAATTGATGGTATTTGCTGGTGTACACGTCCAAGTGTTTTTTTCTTTGAACACCTAAATTCTTTGAAGTATCCTGAAAGTATATTCAAAAGCGTCCAACTTTTTTAAACATCTGACAGCCAAATTTCCCTGCAAATTTTTGCTTACTTTTCTCCCTAATTTTCTTCTTTCCTTCTACAGTTATTTTCAGTGCACACACAAGAAAATTAAGATTTTTCGATTGCTAGACTTCCATAAACTTTGCAATCTTGTCAATTTTTTAAAATATCAATTACATGAATTGCGTTTCAGCTGAAGACAGCTTTTCATTTTCTAGTCATTTTAACTATAAATAAAGTTTAAAGCGAAGTCCAAAGGATAAATATTTTAATTAAAAGATTTTTGCTAAATGACAAAGAAATAAAACAGTCCAGCAGGGTTTATTCTGTACCACCGAGTGACCCGTTTTCTTTATCTCGGCTGAAACAATCTAAATCATATTAAAGATCATGTTTTTTTTATACAATCTATAATGCGAGAGAAAAATTAGCTTCTTAAAACATTCTTTCTAAGAGGATTAATATAGAAGATTATATATATATATATTTTTTTAAAAGCTGGGACTTGAACCAAACTTTAAAATTTTTAAAGTTTAATTTACATGGTGGTTATAATTAAAGTTCCAATTTGAAATGGTCATAAAAGGAAAACTACCGTACCAAATGTTATCAAACTTGGGAATTGTGTAAAGGAGGTTATGGAAATTTATTTTCTGTGGAAAAAAAAAGAGTTCAAAAACTCACCACCAGGGAAAAAATGGCACTGTATACAAGATTGTTAAATGAAATAAGACACAAAAACATCTGCTTAAAATGTGTTTAATATTTTCCGAAACGTGTTACAAAGCATGTTCAATGTAGCGTCCAGCATTTTCCGAAAGCAAGTTAAATCCTGTTACTGCATTCTCAACAGCAGCTCTTAGCATATCAGGGAGGAATGCTACGGACATGTCAGTGTTTCACATTTTTCATTTCTGCCAAATTGTTTAGATTATCACCATAAACAGTGCATTTGAGAAAACCGCATAGCTAAAAGTCACAGAGGTTGAGGTCTGGTGGGAAGAAGGGAAGTGTTGGCCTATAAGACGTTCATTCGTGAAATGTTGCCTAAGTAACTGTGCAACACACGTGAGATGGGGCCCAGCCCTGCATAAAAATCGTAGTATCTAAAATGCCATGTTACTGTAGTTTATGTATCACGAAACATTTTAACATTGACTCTAAGTGAGCTGCAATCACAGTGGTCCAGCTGTCGACTGCTCTTCAGAGAAAAATGGTTCAGTTATAAAACTAGCTGTCATTCAACACTAAACGGTGTGGAATGACTTCTATGCAATCGAATGCAGTAGGAGAATGCAATGTAACTAGATAGATAACATGAGGGATTTCTTTGGCCCAAATCGATTAAAAGCGTTTTGAATCAGTATCTTCATGTTTTAGGGCCGAATTCAGGCTTCAAAAATTACAAATTAGTGATCTGTAAGAAAACAATTTCCAGATTGTATGCACTTGTGCGAGTAATTTGCAATCTCGCATTTTCTAATCACTAATTAGTGGTTTTCACGGGCGAATTTCTCCCTTACACGGATGGCGCACTCGGCTTTTATTGAATTTAACGCCTTTAAATGGTAATTTGCTTAGTTCAAAGTTTCTTAAGGGTATACAACATATTAAACCCGTGTAACAAAAGGTTAAGTTAGATTCCGACCCATATTTCGTTTAACAATATTGCATACAGTGCCATTTGCCCATCTGGTGGTGAAGTTTCGAACTTTCTTTTTTTTTGCGGAAAATAAATTCTTATGACCTCCTTTACACAGTTACCAAGTTTGATAACATTTGATCCAATAGTTTTCCTTTTATGACCGTTCCAAAGTGGAACTTTAATTATAACCACCCTATATATTATTAAATTTTAATTGAAGCTATGCGTTATATGTATACCATGCCTAAGATTTCTGCTTTTATGGAAAAAATAAAAATGGAAGCAAATATACTTGACCAAAACTGAAAAAATTTCCTCTCCCTCCGAAAATCAAATATTGAAACTTCAACCTTGAATTTATTGGATTATCGAAATATTCAATTTGACGTCTCTTCTAAGCCCTAGTTCCGACAAAAATACCGAATTACTGAAGCTGAAGTAAAAGGTTTAGTATATATTCACTGTATGTTAACAAAGTAATCAGAGTGTAATAAAAATACATTATAGAATTTACGCTGATCCAACTTTTTGTCTGAATGCACAACATGTAACGGAAGAGACGGCTTGTAGAGATCTGTTTTACATGCCTCTAAAAGTAGATGCCATACTCCTTTTGTCTCTTCAATGTCAAAAAACTTTTAGATTTTAGGAAAGAAAAAAAAATCACAAGAAGCAAATTTGAAGAACATGCAGGACGATTGAGTAAACATACTTATTTTCGGAATACAAGCCGTTCTCCGATTGGTTATTGAATAATGAAAAGATACATTGTCATGCAATACAAAACATTTGGAATACGTTTTCTGACTGAATAACGTAATATTAAAAGTCATCTGCTTAATTCACAGCCATTTACAAGTCAACTACTGGGGCAATTGCAAAATCGTTTTGATCCTGAGCTTGTAAGACAAACCTTATATCACTGGATTTAAACACTTCTTTAATCTTCCGAGAACGTTCCTTCTTTAACTCATATTCCAAGAATATTAAGTGAATACAATTATTGCAAAAGAAATTCATTTGCACTACGGTTTGGTAGTTTACTAACGAGTTAACAAAACTTAAATTCTGCTTTTTGTGTCTAAGTATACCAATATTTTAAATATTTACAAATAAAATATTAAATTGGAGCCTCACCAGTTGTCTAGCATTTGAAGATTGTTAAATACTAATTGTTTGTTGCGAAGTCTAACCCAGGCTGCATGGTTGGTTTTCGTAGTTTTTTAGGTTCTCTTTACTAAGGTTCTCTATGAAAGCATCTTAACCAAATAGCTCCCATGTTCTTTCTATGTTCAAATAACCAACTAACTTAGTTTAAGCGCAATTTCCAAATGAAGTTACTAGCAAAACCCGAATACTCATTAAAAATCACGTAGCTTGCCAATCATGAGTAACATGAAAGATACGGCGCCAATAATTAAATTGCTGTTACGGTACGCTGTTTCTAAATTTAGATGGTCATTCCTTAATTAAATAGCTCACCAGCGGCCAAGCGGTAAAGACGCTGAGCACTGGTAGTTCAGTCTGAGGTTCGAATCCCGCGAACGGGCTGGCTGCATGGGCGTTTTCGTGGTTTTCCCCATGTGTAACGTGTATACGAGCCAGTTTACCTTAGAAAGTCCTCCACGAAGGCATCCATCCCTTTAGGCAGATAGATAGCCCTTGTGTGCTTTGCCATAATTAAATAATCCAATCCAATCCTTAATTAAATATAATTGATTTGTAACTTCTACTAGAGCTGACGGTAAAAATTGAAGTGCAAATAAATAATATCGTGTGCAATCTTGATTAATATAAAAATTTAAAATATGTGCACAGAAAAATATTTGCATTCAGACAAAGTTTTTTGAAATATTTGCAATTACTTTATAAGCAGGATTTATTAATAACCGTAATAATTACTTTTTATATTACTGATGATTAGGATTTAGTTCTTGACAATTACATTCTAAATTAGAATTTTAAAGATATAATGAAAATACGCTACGCACAAAAATACATTTTAGGATTAAAAATGAGTTGATTTTTTATGTTTTAAAACTTCTTAAATTCATTTAATAAACATCGTATCCTCCTTGTTAATTGAGTCCAGAATGTGAACGTTTATATAATTATTCTTACTTGTCCACAGAAGCTGCTGACTTATCCAGCCATTACGTAGCTGCAGATCATTTCTACATAACCATTGAACTTCCACTAATTCAGTCTCTAGAGGGTTGTATGTTTATATCATAATTTGACTTATATAAATGATTATTCTAAACCTTATGTTTCTATAAAAATATATTGTGCTTTAAAAATATGGATGATAGTATCTGCCGCTCCTTCAGCCACTTTAAAAGCAACAGTTTGTTTAGAGATAAATTATGCAGTTAATGTCATAAAATTCAAATAAACATTAAACGAAAATTCTCAGTTTTAGACAATTCGATTTAAATGAAGTAAAGTAGCAGACGATAAAACGCCGAAGGTAAAAATTTACTCTTAGAAAAATTTACTCTTATTTTTTTAAAAAAAGGAAGAAAGAGAGAAATTAAAAAACATTGTTAAAATTTGAATAATATCATCTATAATTTTAAAAAAAAGCTTTTCATATAGTATTAATAAATATTTATTACGCCTTATTGAGGGAAAAAATTTCATATAATTAATTCTCCGTAAAATTTTATTTGAAATTTAAGGTTAAAAATAGCTGTGGCAATTCACCATAACAAAATTCATAAACCACATTGGTGTTATTATCGCTCTAAGAAAAGATGCCAAATTTCAAAACGCAAAAATATGTAAATTCGTGTATATCTTAGAAAATTTTGAATAAAAAAGTGTAATTTTTTGCAGATATGCTTAAAAATACACTTCTTTATGATGATGGTAAAAATTTTATAGGTTATAATTAAAAATTTTTTTCGAAAAATTTATAAAAATTATTAAAAAATAGAAATTTAAAAAATAAAACACAAAAAAATGGGTAAATTTTATTTGGAATGAACCTAACCTAAATTTCGAAATGTGAGAGAAAAAATCAAAAAAGTTTAATAAAAAAAGAGATATTAATAAATATTTGCCAAATTCAATTAACATTGAGGAGCTAAAAATTTTGAGAGCTAATATTTTAAAAACTAGTCGTACAATTTTTACAAAACTTAGTATTCTGGCATAATTTGAGTCGTAGAATCGAAATATGTAAAAACATTGGTATGTTATTTCAGAAAAAGTCCGATTTTGTGTCAAAATACCTATGTTAGAATAGTGCTATATATAAATCTAATATATATTCTAAGTCGCGCTTTCGAGACATGAAAAACGCAGTTTGAATTTTGTCGATCGGCCCAGTAGAACGGGAGATATAGCACTTTCCCATTTTTTTTTTTAGCAGTGTACATAACAGATATTTTTGGTACATATAATATTGCTGTCCTCAAAATGCAGACTACCAAATGGACTTGGATGCTAATGGAGAACTTTTAATAGCTGCTAGGATAATAATTCTATTTGATTTCTGATACATTAAAAACTCTGCTAAAAAATACAGAAAAACTAAAATAATCACAGATAATTTGAAAAGCAAAAATTAATGATTAAATGACATTTAATCCTGAGTAACATATTAAAAATGAAGAGTTTTTTTTTTTTTTTTTTTTTTCTGTTAAAATGTTTCATCATGACTGATTCTGGATACAACTTGTTATTATGGCCTATTTCACCCTGCTTTTCTCATCATAAGATTTCATATCATTAGAACAATGCAGGGCATCTGATGTTGTAGTTAATCTTACTCGTCTCACCTTATCAATAGGAACCCATGAATTTTATTGTGTCATCAAAGGCAAATTGCATCTGTTATTGGTTCGAGCCTTGAGCACAATATAGGCGACAGTATGACTTCGCACAGTTCTGCCTTAATTTGGAAGGAGAGTCTCTCGAGGGATGGGTCTGAGGGTCTCCAATTCTTCATGGTCTCTACAAAACTTTCAGCTTGCCATACGAGTGCCCCCATGCCAGACAGACAGTATACATTTACAAAAATACATGCTTTCTCTGAATTCAAATCTGGGCCCTTCAGTAGAGCAGTCCGATTCATTAATCACTACACCATCTGAGTGATTAAGGGCATTTTTGTTCATTAACAAAAAATACCTCATTTTAATAATTTTACTACCAACTAAATAGGCAAATGCAACTGTCTTATGACCTCCCCAAGAAAAAATAAAGGGTTGCAATAAACCCTTTGCACTTCGTTGGTATTAAAATACCACTTCACAATGTGAACATTTCTAAAAGTTACATAATAACATATTTTCTCTATGAAACCAATGAGAACTAAAGATACTTAAAATTTAAAGGTATAAAAAATTTCAAATGTAGCTAAGTAGGAAATTAGTAATTATATAATGATTCTTAAAATTTTATAACAGTTAAACCCATGCACATCAAAACAGATTTTATTACATTTTTATTTTTTATCTACATCAGGTTTAAGCAATAAAAAGGAACATATTTAAGTTCCAGAAATGAAAATTTACCTTCCTCTCTCAGAAACAAGAGCATCAATTTCATCTAAGAATATAATACATGGGCTTCTTGCTTTAGCTGCAGCAAATAAATCACGTACAGCTCTCTCCGATTCTCCAACATATTTATTAAAAAGATCAGAAGTCTAAAAAAATTTTTAAATAATAAATTAAAATACACATTCAAAATAAACATAATTTGAAATGATTACATATATACATTGGAAAGTACAGTACAAAGTCCAAAATCTGGACTCGTCGGGACTTCAGATTGAATTGGGTGATTCCCGATTTCAGATTTTTCCAGATACAGTCAAAAGTCGTTAATTCGGACACCCATAATCCGGAATAATCTATAATCCGGACCTCAAAGCTAAAATCTTTCTGCGCATGCGCATAGGCGTTTTACGCGTGCGCGCAAGACATTTACGACTGCGCATATGTGTCTGCGCAAGCGCAGAATTCTTTTTCGCGTGCGTGTTTAATGTATAAGCTAAAATTATCTAATTATCTATTTCAGTTAATGTTGATGATTGCGTTGTTCCTTAATCTTCGAATTGGATCCGGCTTATTATTTTTTGCAGACTGTAAGAGCAATTTTATAAAAGTAAGCTTGAACTTTCGATGATGTCAAATAGAATTTCCGATGCTGGAGCTCCCAAAGGATCTAGAAAACGAAAGTATGCTTCGATGTCCATCAAACAAAAAACGAATAAAAAATGGATAAAGGCATATCCTTTGTTTATCTAACCGTTCCGACATCTGTTTATCAATTTCACACTGCTCTGCGGGGGGGGGGGGGGAAGACGTTCATTCTTTCATTCGTGCTGCGCATAAGCTAATAGACCCATGGCTACGAAATTTGGTACATAGGTGCATCTAGACAAGACCAGTGCACCTCGAAGAGATTTTTTTTAAATTCGAATTTATTTTATGTTTTGTGATGAAATTGTGTCATTTTGAGACATAATGGGCTATAGGAAAGCAAGATTTTACTGTACACACTCCATTTCCACATCGTCATGAAACGTAGGCACTTAAAATAAATTTCGTGTTTCAATAAATCGATTAAATACCAATTTATTTTAACAAAGTAAGCTTAACACCTTTCCCATGGGATTTTTTCCAAAAAAGTTTATTTTTAAAAAAATGTACAGTTTATTTTTCTTTAATTTTTGGACATGCAAAGCTTTCATCCTTGCGACTGCTTTTAGAAAAAGAATTTTGGAAAAATGATAATATTTTGTATTTTTTAAAAAATTTCTTAAATGAAGCTTCCAAGTACACTTCTCACATCTTTAAAAATGTGATTTTGGCAACAATTTTTCTTTCTTATTGTTGTTGATAGATTTTTGATGAAATCATATCATTTTGAATAGTTTCATTCTTTTAGGAATATGGATTTGGCTACAATTTTTCATTGTATTTCTTATGTCACTGTTTCTAAGAGATTGTCATATTTCATTGTCATTTTTTATATATATAATACATTTTTATTTATTTTTGATAAAGTTGTTCTGCAGAGTAAAATTCTGCACAGAATTTGGTACTTATGTATTATCGCAACCAGGTTGGCGCTATTTGTAAGTTTGAGTAAAAAAGTATGAATAGAAAGAAAATGTACATTTATTAATTACAGATAATTTTTAATACAGTTTTTTATATTATTTTGTTTTAAAATATAAAATAGCAATTAAACCCTTCCGGTTTCAAATTTCAATAAGTTTCAGAATTATTTTTTCGGCGGAAATCTTTTGGCTATTGCTTTTAGCACTGATTGAAAACCGTATTCGCCATAACCATGCACACGTCGACTTATTTTTACTTAAAAAAACATCCCAGAACTGCACAAAAATGGTATTGCACACACTCTTGACTTTATCCATGTACACTGCTATTTTCTCATAAATTACAAAAATTTGCACGAAAATGCAGGAAAATTTTGTGAATCTCCACATGCTCTTTTTACAAAACTACATATAAGACGTAGGGTTGCCGTAAGTAGGGTCGCCAAATTTGGCAATTTATGCGAATTTTGGCCTGGTTGCGTTAATACGTAAGTACCCAGAATTTTTTGTTTTTTGAGTTTTTTTCATGTTAATTTTTGCTTATTTTACTATTTGTAAGATATTGAAAAGTTTTGCATGATTTTTTTTTTCTTCAACAGAAAGTTGGTTAATTTTTTTTATTCGTATATAATTAATATTTGTATTAAGGGATAATATCATATAACTTTCCACTATTTAACTTCACTGCAATTAATTTGATATGCATAACACAGCCCTTCAACTATAAATAAATGTAATTCAAAACAGGTTGCATTTAAAAGTTATAAGGTATTTATCCTCCATCCATGCTTTCATGGTGTAATGGTAGCACATTTGGCAAATATTTGAGAGGTCTAGAGTTCAAGTCCCAGCAAAGGGCACTGCACAATTTTTTCGTCTTCTTTAAAATAACCTAATGACTCAACAGTACCACTCGAATTAAAATGTAGTGGACGATAATTCTTTCCCACCACAATTTGGCAATTGGGTCCCCTCATCCTTATTTGCCTTTTAAAAGGGGGGGGAATGTACAGGGTGTTTCTAAATGACTATTGGGGTTTTAATGCTTTGTAGTATTTATTATGTAAAACTTAAAATCATAATTAATACATGAAATGAAAAAGCAACTCAAACAGTTCTGTTTGTTGGTATGCACATGAGCCAGAAAAAGATAGCACCAAAAATGGTAACTAGTGAACAGAAAGGTTTTTTTTGTTCTTCAGTTTCAAAGACTGAATCTGTAGTTACTGTGCAACATGCGTTCCAGATTCAGATGTGATCCCTGAAGTGATAATAACATCTGTAGATGGTATCATCAGTTTGAAAATACCAGTTGCCTTTGCAAAGGGAAGAGTACAGGACGACCAAGGATTCTTGTCTTGATGTGTGCCAGATAATGAATGGTGCTCACGCTGAACACTTGTAAGCTTGTAGATATAATTGTTTGAGTTGCTTTTTCATTTCATGTATTAATTATAATTTTAAGTTTTACGTAATAAACACTACAAAGCATTAAAACCCTGATATTAATTTAGAAACACCCTGTATAAGGTATTTTCTAACTCCTTCCAGCATGCCTTCGTGGTGTAATGGTAGCACGCTTGACGCGTATTCGAGTCCCGGTGAGGGCACTACACATTTTGCACATCTCCTGCTTCAAAATAACCTAATGACTCTACAAAGGATTTTTGCATCATAAAGCAACATGACCTAAACAATTTTCACTAAAAAGATATATAAGTCAACTTTACCCTTTCAGCTGAAAAACACATTTCTGTCATCAGTTCATTTCAACTGTTGTAAAATTTTTCTGATTATAAGAAATATTTTCTTTTAGTTTTGTCATTTCAATAAAGAAAGAATGCAATTGAATGATATATCATAAAAAGGTCTATAAAAATATTCATTCTAAAAAGAAGAACACTGTAACAAGGAATAAGAAAAACATGTTTGATTTAATGGTGGCTAATGGACAACTTTAATACATCTATTTTTTTTTTGTTTTTGTTTTTTTGTAACAGACTGTCTAGTGCATGTTGTTGTTAACAGAAAAGACCTGAAAGAAGATACATACAAGCAAAATATTCCTTAGAAATTTGTAATCTGCAAGAAGCAGATAAAATGCATCAATGGGAAGGGGGGATATTTCTCTGGCAGGGAGTACAAAATTAATGAAAAGGCTAAAAAGGGAGGTGGAGAAATGCAGAATGTCACCACAATTTTTTTTAATGGAAAATCAAATTTTTAATTTGATACTAGTGTCGACAGATAATCCCATGAACAGATAATATCATTTTAAAATTACTTATCTAATGCTAAATCTCATAAAAAATATAAACAGATAAAAATTTTTTAATTTCAATATAAAAAAATTACCTACATTTTTTGAAATGAAATTCAAATTACTTTCAGTGGCTAAAGCTTTTGCTATCATAGTTTTTGAACATCCAGGTGGTCCATACAGCAGTACTCCTCGAGGGGGAGCAACATCAACTCGTTTATAGCTTTCAGGATATTTAAGTGGCATTTCTACAATGTACTTCAATTTTTCTTTCACATCGTGCATACCGCCAATGTCATTCCAACAAACCTGATGTTAAAAAATAAATTTAAACATATTAATACAGGATTTAAAATAAAGCAAGAATTTATAATCTTGAAAATAAAAATTTGATAGTAAGTATTTTCAAATATAACACAGCTGTTGCCAGTCCTAATAATTTTAGCATTTCATGTTGGGTATTATTTAATCATTTATTTTGTAATTTGTTTGATACATAAATCTGGAAACTCAGTTTGTTTAGAATGTTGTGATCAGGAAATTACCATTCTAAGATATGCAGCCTTTAATTTACACTACAGCAGTATTTAATGTTATTCATCATTAAGATATGTGGATCATTTGATCATTTTGTTAAACCATACATAGCCTCATGTGTGTTTGTAAAGTGAAAATAAATCAGATATTAAACGATGTTGAAATTTCAAATCAAAATAAAAGTGGCATCTAGGAAGTGACACTGTACTCTGCCTTAAGTAGCAGGCCAGAAGTCATCAAATTTTACTTTATTGGAGGTAAGCCATATAATTTAAGAATTTATTTCATTTTTGATTACTTCTCAGTTATTTTATTCAAAGTTCTGTTTCTTGTAGAGTGTTTATGTTCAATATGATATATATTGTTACGAATTTAGTATTTAAAAAGCTAATGTTAGTTCAATTATAAATTAAATGGTTTTATTTCTCGCAGTGCAGCGCGTGACGAATATTAAAAGAAAGCTAAGCCGGAAAATTGAAAATACAAGAGCGCGTGCATTAAATAAATAAATATCTCTTTTTGATTTCGAGAAAGTACTGGAAAATTCTAGCGCGTGATTTTAAAATCTTATAAAAGGAGGAAAACATCTCAGTTTGTAGCAGTTGCTTAGTTTGTTGTTGCTTAGAAAACTGCTCTTGTTGATTGTAGCGAATTCGCGGATTAGCGTTCTTTAGCTGTTTTGAATTACGTTCTATTGGATATTTGAGTAGTTAAAAGATAACTACTGTGAGATATTGTAATTCTGCATGATAATTTGAGAAAATTTAAGCATTTTTGTTGTGATAATATAATAAATTTTTGTTCATTTTTCATCGGACTTGTGCATTCATTTCATAACGAACCCGTACGCATGCAACAATTTTTGGTGTCAGAAGTGGGATTTGAATGCCAATAACAAGAGCGATGGAAGAACAATTCAGGCAAATGATGACTGCATTTGCTGCTTTCCAAGAAAAGATGGAAGGAGCCATCAACTCCGTTAAGGAAGATATAAAAGCTGTACAAGAAAAGATGGAAGCTGGCCAAACATCTTTTAAAGAAGAAATTAAAGAGGAAATGAAATTGGGCCAGGAATCCGTTAAGGAAGAAATGAAATTGGGCCAAGAATCCGTTAAGGACGAAATGAAAGCCGTTCAAGCTGGTCAAGAAGAAATGAAAAGAGAAATTACTTGCATAATAGAAAATAAATTTGAAGCTATGGAAGGCAGAATTGACGCAGTTGAAAATAAAGTTGAACATATTGAAGAAAAAGTTTCTTCCGTAAAAGATCATATTGAAGAAAGAGTTTCTTCGGTGAAAGAAGAAATAGAAGAAAGAGTTTCTTCTGTAAAAGAACATATATAGAAGGGAGAGTTTCTGCTGTGGAGGAACGAATTGAAGGAAGAGTTTGTGCCGTCCAACACCAAATCGAACAAGAAATTGATGAGAGAGTTTCTGCAGTTGCCAAAGAAATGGATACTTTAAAGAAATTCGTATCGTCGGCAGGGAGCAGGAGTGATGATTTTAAATTCTTACCAATGCCTGCTCGTCCACCTCTGAAGCTATCCACATATGATGGGAAGACCTCCTGGCAGGTGTATAAGACACAATTTTCTATCGTGGCGGATGCGAATGGATGGGATTCCCAAGCTAAGGCCTGTCATCTCGCCGCTTCTCTAAGAGCCGACGCAGCGGATATCCTTCAGACTCTTCCCGAAAACAAAAGGTTAGATTTCGAAGCTCTGTCCGGCGCCTTGGAGTTGCGCTTTGGGGAGAAGTGTTTAAAAGACTACAGCAGGCTCCAATTAAAATCTCCTCAACAGAAGCCTACCGAAACACTTCAGGAGCTCGCCGCGGATGTTGAAAGGCTGTCCCATCTCGCCTTTTCAGAATGCCCGACAGAAACAAGGGAAATCCTGTCCTTGCAATACTTTATCGATGGCATCCGGGATCCTGAAATACAGAAAGCTCTTCGAATGGCAGATGTAAAGGATGTAAAAAGCGCTCTGTTGTACGCCGTGAAATTGGAGGCAGCCCAGCAAGCAACTCTTAGAGATCGCTACCCAGTCAGAGCTGTGCGAGTCCACGACCCAGGGGACCAATTGATGGCTCGTTTAGATGATTTATCCAGACAAGTCGATGCTTTGATACGGAGTAGCAGTGAGAACAAAGTGGCTGTAAGATGTTGGAGATGTGGTTCTGAAGGTCACCTACGACGGCATTGCAGAACACCCCAGGGCACGGATAATAAAACGGATGAGTTGACAAGACCAGTGAATGCTTTAAGACGGGAATAGTGGTGAAACGAAACCGACCCTAAAGTGCTGGAATTGCGGTGTTGAAGGCCACCTACGAAGGAACTGCAGAACTCCCCAGAGCACGGAAAATAAGACATATGATTTAAACAAACAAATTAATGACCATATCAAGGAACGGAGGTTGCCAGATAATGAAAAACCCTGTTTTAAAGCGCTCAAGATCTCTATAGTGAGTGACAACAATAACGGACTGTCCATCAATGGGAATATCGATGGAGTTCCTTGCAATATGATCATTGACACAGGAGCTAATGTTACCATCATTAGGAAAGATTTAGCTGAACAGTTTAAAGATAAACTTATTTGGACGCCATCCTGTGTTACCCTTCAGACTGCGTCTGGTGACAAGATCGAGATAGCTGGGAAGTTAAACGTGAACATCACGTTTGGAAGTGCCGCCTACCATCACACGGCTTATGTGGCGGATATCACAGATCCATGCATACTCGGATTGGACTTTTTAAGGAAATACAATTTTTCCCTAGACTTGAAAAACAACAAACTGCTTTCAGCATCTGATGGCATGACTATCCATCCTCAAAAGGGATCCTCACCTAGAAATGCCGACGCCTTGTCCGAAAGACCCAGCTCAGGAAGCTGCCGAAATCGTACTAGGGCCAAAAAGAAACGCAAGACTACCAGCTATTCTCCATCCCAGATGCTCTTCGGTCGAGACCTTCGTCTGCCTTGTGACCGCCTGTTTGATCGCCGTACGGATGCTCCTTCATCGCCTGAGGAACACATCCAAGATGTCCAGGCCCGTTTTGAAGTTATGCACCGTTCCGCACGAAAGCGAGTGAACTTGGCGACGGAGAAGGTGAAGACTACATACGACACGAGAGCTACTGGACATAAATTCAAACAAAAAGACAAGATGTGGTTGTGGAACCCGATTCACGAAGAGAACTCAGTTCTAAATTACAGTCATCTTCGGATGGTCCATATACAGTCCTGAAGAGACTGAATGACGTCATGATTCATAAGTCTTCGAACTCTAAACCTAAAGTCGTTCATTACGACAGGTTAGCTCATTGCTATGGCCATACTACATAATGTAAATAATTGTAAATAGTGTAAGACCATGGTCCTTTATGTTTTTAAATGTGTATTTGATTTGATTTGTATTTACTATTTGTTTTGTATTTAGTATTTGATAGTATTTGATTTGTTTAAGTTAGTTATTGCATTTATTGTTCATGTTGTTTGATATTGTAATGTAATGTTTATGCCTCAGTTGCATTTATGCCACAGTCGTAAGTTTAGCTTCCTGTCCAGGGATTGTACTGCCCGGGACGTGCAGTCCTTGGGAAGGGGGCAGTGTTACGAATTTAGTATTTAAAAAGCTAATGTTAGTTCAATTATAAATTAAATGGTTTTATTTCTCGCGCAGTGCAGCGCGTGACGAATATTAAAAGAAAGCTAAGCCGGAAAATTGAAAATACAAGAGCGCGTGCATTAAATAAATAAATATCTCTTTTTGATTTCGAGAAAGTACTGGAAAATTCTAGCGCGTGATTTTAAAATCTTATAAAAGGAGGAAAACATCTCAGTTTGTAGCAGTTGCTTAGTTTGTTGTTGCTTAGAAAACTGCTCTTGTTGATTGTAGTGAATTCGCGGATTAGCGTTCTTTAGCTGTTTTGAATTACGTTCTATTGGATATTTGAGTAGTTAAAAGATAACTATTGTGAGATATTGTAATTCTGCATGATAATTTGAGAAAATTTAAGCATTTTTGTTGTGATAATAATAAATTTTTGTTAATATTTCATTGGACTTGTGCATTCATTTCATAATGAACCCGTACGCACGCAACAATATTTAAGAAAAGTAAAATGACTATAGATTCAGAACGAACAGAGACTGACACTAAAGTAAAAGCTGATCAAGCAAAACTTGAAATTAAATTATGAGCTGAAATAAATAATTTATGCAATCTCTTTACTATGGCAGCAAATACATTTGGTGATATTCATCGAATGACTGGTGTTGAAAAGGACATTCATGTTTAGTTTTACAAAATTGTTGAGAAGGCAGAACACTTATTTAAAGTAGACGAAGAAATTAAAGAATTGATTAGTTTTACAGATGAAAAGTATGTTGCAATGGAATTTTAGGCTGGTATCACACATTCATTTGTTTCGAAAGAACAACTGTTTGGAACAATTTTTCTGCTTTGTGAAAACAACCAATCACCCCCCCCAATTGCTTTGGGGTTAACACAAGGGAAGTTGGTTCTACATTACAAACAAACTGATAGCATTCGAAGCTGATAGTTGATTGGTTGAAAATGAACCACTTGCAATTTTTTTCCCAAAGGAAGGAAAAACATTGCACGTCTTTCTTTCAACAATAAACCAGGCAGAAAAATTGCACGAAACAGTTGTTCGTGCAATTTTGTGTGAAACAAATGCATGTGTGATATGGGCCTTACAGAGACAAATTTAGTAAAATATGAGTTATATATGAGAAGAATTACAAGCAACATGATGAAGGTAAGTCTGCAATTTCTACTAAGCTTGCATTTGATAATTTAAAACTTTTCAAATTATGTCTTAAGAAGTATGATCTTATGCCCAGATCAAGGGTTGCATTTTGGTGTCAGTTTTGTCGAGTTCATAAAGATGAAAATTTAAGAGAAGAAGAAAAATTTCAATATATGCTTTTCGTCATTAAAAACAAACACTAAAGCACATGATATAGCTGAAAGTTATCCACTGTCTAAGCACAACTATCTGAAAGTTAAACCACTTAAAGTCTCAATTTAGCAGAAAGAAATTACTGAGTAAAGTTTACATTCAAGATCTTTTGGCATTAGTAACTAACAAATCTATCATCAAGTTAACTGATTTATAAGATAAACTTGGTTCATATCTATAAACGTTAGAGACAATGGGTGTGACAACAAAACAAATTAAGCAGCAATGCTGTACATTATTGTGGGATCGTGTCTTCCGCAAAAGTCGTAAAAGCCTGGAATAGCTATAGACTCAACTATAGATATAAAAAGATGTAAACTCTCAAAGGATGATCCAGAACAAACTGTATTAATTTATATTCAGAAGGTTATAATGGACCATAATAATACATCAAAGCTTTATAATAGTATATTATAACAAAAAAGGTATAAAATAGCTAACTACCTTTTTAACAGTCATATCACTAGAAGCAACAATATTCCTCTTTCTTCGCATAAATGCTTCTTTTACGTCTTGAAATATTATTTCAACATTTTCAACTTTAGAAATTTCACCTACTCTTGCACATGCAAAAATATGAGCTATAAAACAAAAAAACATTTTTGATTTATGACAGGTAAACTTCTTTCAAACATTAAAAGAAAAAGGGAAAAAACTAAGTATTAAAATTAGTATTTCAAATTTTAAAGTATATAAAACTTTCCCTTTTTAATAATATGTTAACAATAGACAATTAGAATTAATTAATGCATTGCAATTATGCCTTAGGAAGGAATCTTTTCTAAAAGACTGTAACCAGGAATCTTCTGCACAGCCATGATATGTTGTCAACATGGCCAGGATCTCACCAAGCTAGACCTTGAACTTCAAATAACCCGACAGGAAAAAGCTGCATGGGGTTAGATGTAGGGAGCAAAACAGCTTTGAGAGTGGAAAAACGTAACTTAGACCTTTTCTTTTTTCTGTGAAATGCTGGCACACCAACCACTGTACTGATAGATGAAGGAATTACTTAAAATTTTATTCCTCCCAGTGCACCAAATTTCACCATATTACAGGAAGGCAATATTAGGTCTTTTAAACACCATTTAGGGAGATGAGCTAGCAATTAAGTTCTTACCCATGAAGAATTTATGACAGTAGTTAACCAAATTGAAGGAATTCTTAATTCATGTGCTATCTCTCCATTATTTTCTGATGCTAACAATTTTGAAGCATTAACACCTAGTCATTTTTTGATCAGTTGACTGATTAATGCAATTGCTGAGACAGGATTGTTAGAATTAGCTGATAACAGACTATCACAATGAAAACAAACAACAGAAATAGTCCAAAATGTCTGAAAAGAGGTGGAAACAAGGCTATTTAAGCTAATGCATTAGAAATGTTAAATGATTATTTCTTTTCTTTACATACCGGAAATGCTGGTATTTAAATACTCAGTTTATTAATTTATACTTAAATTTTCCCTTATTTTCATTGCTAATGTTGAAAAATGTCAAATCTTAATACTGCAGTTTATCATATATATAAATAAGAATATATTATATATTATATGTAATTTATTTTATTATACATAATATTTAAAACCCAACTCAAATGATATAAAGCAAGAATTCACTTCTGAAGCTTCCTGAAAGGAATAAGGAAAGAGATCTTTCATAATAGGCAATCAGCCCTCATAAAAATTGAGTTATTTGGCAAGTTATGGAGTTTTTGATGGTAAATAAAAATGGAACAGTTAAAAAAAACCACAAACACAAGAAAATTTCTTTGAACCATATAAGCATCATTTTATTCTACAACTTTTTGCTCTCTTCAGCACAAATTTCTTTATTAAAAAAAGTCATTAGGTATATTCGTAAAGAATTTCCCATGCTGAATAAGTCTCTCTGACATTCATCAAAATTTAGGGCCAAGCTTTTCGTGATAAAAGACAACACCTTGATGACTGGTCAGCTCTGGGCACTTAGCTTCAATTTCAACTTTTAAAACTGCCATTTGGGAAAAGTATTTTTTCAAATTTATAGTTAGATTTGGTGGCAACAATTCAAGTTTGGCTTATCTCATGATCGTTCTTATTCATCACTTCTTATCTCTAGTAATGAACTGTTTCAGAAAAGGAGCTTCATTTTTTTTTCATCAAAGAATGACATGCTGAAACTCAAGCAAACATATTCTGCTCTGTCAAAGTATGGATACCCATACAACATAGTAGCTTACATACTCAATCTTCAAATGATCATATACTGCACTTTTTGAAATATTTAGTCTGTCTGATAGTTCTTGAAATGTATAACCTGGGGTTTCAGTGATAGCTTCTTTCAATAGGTGTTTTTTTACTAAGAATGGTCACCCAGAGTGGGTATCCTGTTCGAGGATGAAGTTCCCATGCTCAAACTTCTCGAACATCTTCAAACTATGCCATATGAAACAGAACTTAATCCATATACAGCACAAACTTTACAAGTTGTCTAACTGGCAATTTTTTTTTTTAAATAAATGAGTATAATGTGATGCAAATTGTTCTCCATTCTTAGAACAGATTCTTAGAACTCCATTCTTAAATAAAAATCTACTCTGACATATGCTAGAATTATGGAACATAAGCAGAAAACACTGTATTTAAACATTTCCCTTGATCAAAGCCACACTTTGTCAGCATACAAATAACAAAATAATTAGGGGGAAAAAAGGTACTTTAATTTCAAATAGCACATACCTTTCCAAATGACCCAATACAAGTCTTGTGTTATATTAAAGTTGTTTCTGTAAAGACACATTTATTTACTTTGCCATTTGATTAAGAGATAAAATCCATGAATCTTCATTAGCTATTTCACTTTTCTTAACGCTAAAAATAAATATTCTTGCAATAGACAGTGTAGAATATTTTAAATCTCTACTCCCACTCTAATGCACTTATTCCAATATTTAACAATGTTTACTATAATACTGTGAAAAATATTTTCTCAGAAATAATAAAACAGAAATATAAAATGGAAAAGTAATAAAGTAACCTAGGAATAAGAACATCTGTCCACTCATTTACACCAAAAATGCTGGATGAGGAAGAAAAATTTTTGCTTACATTTCAGAAATGTATTACTTTAAATTTTTTTAAAAGAATCTGAAAGCTTTAAAATTTTACATTACTTTTTCTTTTGTTGTTTTTTTTTTTTACATTTTGTGGGTTACCTTTATTTATTAAATATCACTTAAACTATAAAATTCAGTTCAACAGCAATATCGCAAAATAATGTTAAAATTAACAGAATTTTAGAATTTCCGATACAGTCTCACGCGCTGGAGATTAAAAAAAAATTTTTTTTTTTTTTTTTTTTGGGTACAGTGTTACCATTGCTTGCTTTAAATCGTTCAATGTGTTAATCAAAAATTTGCTTAAGTTTTACAAAATACAAAATAGATAATAAATTCCAAATTTGTGCTTCCAGGTGCCCATATTTGGATGGGAACGTACATTATTCAAAATTGGATGGCTCTAGGTACCGTTGTTTTATCACAGTGCGAGAAACATGCATACATTTATGCAGAGATTCTTCATTATTTACTTTCTTTTTATTATAATACAAAGCTGTAATATTTGGTGGCAGCAGTTTGAAAAGTGAATTGACATTTAAAGTTTTCAATGCGAAATGCCAAAATGAATTTAATAGCCCTTCTGGGTTGATGCTGTTTGGACTAAAAAATTAGAGGATAAAATAATAAACAAAGAAGTATATTAAAATGAATGGATATCATACCTAAAAATCAAGAAATTAAAAAAATATACTACATCAGGCACAGTCAATGAAAAATGCTAACTATTATTACATAAGCTTTCTGCTCAGAAACATGCCTATGCATCTCCTATCTTTTAATGTAAGACTCTTTTCACTGCACATACACAACACGCATCTTATTAAATGAGTTCCCATCTGCAGCATACAATACAGAAGAGTTAATGACACAGACCAACAAAAGGTACATTTGATTGCTTCCATAACTATCTATTATATTCTAGGGTTCTAAATTTTAAGGCATGAAAGTAAGCCATACGAGTTATTCATGATTTAATATTCAAAACAAAGAATTTATTCCTAAAAAAATTCTACTACAATATTCAAACTTAAAAAATATTAATGCTTATTCTACAAATTTTGCTTTCCTCATAAAAGTATTATTTTTAAAAAAAGTATTTTTGAAAATATTGATTTACTGACTAACCATTCACAAGAGAATCTACCAAATCTTTTCCAGTGAAGCCATGCGAGGACTCGATACACTGCTCTATTTCTTGAGATGACATACTGTGTTTCTTGTTCTTTAATAAAAGCGAAAAAATCTGAAACAAAAATATAAATACATAAACAAAATGCATTTTTACAGATGATTTCCCAGTGTCATATGTTTTCATATGACATCGGAAAAAAATTCTTTATGAGAAAGTATTTCAGGGTACTTTTTGTAGACAGGGTAGTTTTGGAAAGCTTTCAAACAACAGCTGACTTGGTACAGATTACAATCACAAACACACAGAAACTATCCTATCCAAACATCAAATTTTATTTAATATAATTACAGTGCAACTATTTGCTAATTCTGTGGATAATCCACTATACTTTTATTAAATCATATGGTAAGATTATAGTCTTCTAGCTGATTTTAAAAGCTAATGATTTTGTAACTAATTTAAAAAGACCTAAGGAAAGCTGCTTTCATACATAACAGCTAACTTTGTTGATATAATTTATCAATGATTTGTAACAAATACCATATTTACTCCATTAAATTTTAAGGTATATTTTATTTAAGGGGTGTTAGAACCCAAAAATCTTCAAAAAATGGTGATTTCGGATTTTGCATTTTCAAATTCTGTATGCTTTTATCTTTCTAAAAATACCATTCTTTAATCTCTATGAAAATTAGAACTGTAAAAAATCTAGTTTTAATTAGTCATTGAATACTTTGATAAATGAGGATTTTTACATAAAAACATGTTTTTCTCCAAAATTTTTTTATACTCGATGTACCTTTTTCTCAGGAACTACTGCTCACAGGTATCTAAAATTTAACGAGTAGAATGCCAAGCGATTGTAGCTACAAGTGAATTTAAATAAATAATAGAATGTAATTCAGCTCGACTGTTTATTTTTCATCAAAATGGATGTACGCTCTAAGCATCAAGTATCTTCGCAATCAGCATTTCTATGCTTTTACTTCATAGTGTTCCTACATCAGTGCTTTCATTACATATATATGGAAGTTGGATTATTTTACATTTTTTACTGGGAGATTTCATTTCTTAGTGGTTTTGGTTCTCAATTTCTTGCTACTTTATCTACCTGTTTATGACAATTAAATTCCTTTCTGTAATTCTGCAAATTCATTAATTAAAACACCCAATTATAAAACTTAATCAAATTTTAGAATAAAAATTTATTAAAAAAATTAGGTATTATTTTTGAGTAAATGTTTACAATATTCAGTCAGAAATTCTTGAGCTTCAATTACTATGCTCCTGAAAGAAATTCAGTTTTAAATTAGATTGGTTGGTATAAGCTTAAATAAGCAATTACCTGCAGTTGAAGAATGAATTAATTCATTTTATTAATTAAAATTAATTCATTTATGGAGGAAATTTAATTAATTCATTTATGGAGACAGAAGTTTTGACTTATTAGAACTTCATGAACAAATAAAACCTGTGAATTCAGGCTTCACTCTACATTTTCTTTTGAAGGGAAAAATATTTTTTTTTTAAAATCTGAAAGTGTTCAGATTTTATATTATGCCCCAAAGAGGCATTTTTTCAATGTTTTGTGAGTTACCTTTATTTATAAATATCATTTTCTTTGCACTTAAACCATAAAATTGAACTCAACAGCAACATTACAAAATATTTAAAAACAGCATATCTTTAGAATTTCTGATACACAGTCTTGTGCACTGGAGATAAAAATGCTCCCCCCTTTCTGTACAGTGGTTTGCTTTGAAATAGTTGAGTTTGTTAATAAAAAATGTGTTTTAAGTTTTACAAAATTAATTTTAAATTTGGGCTTCCAGATGCCTATATTCGAGTGGAGGACTATGTTATTCAAAATTTGATGTCTCTAGGTACCCTTTCACTGCACAAGAAACACATATACATTCATGCAGGTTCTTTATTATTTAATTTTTTTAATATAATGCAAGGTTTTAATATTTGGTGGCAACAATTTGAAAAGTGAAACACTGTTTTATAGTGGATGACGCAAAATGTCAAAGTAAAATTAATAGTCCTTCAGGGCAAATTGCCCCTTTGGGCTAAAAAGTGAAAGAAATTAATCATATTGATAAAATCAGCATTGTCAGCTGCTGGATTTAAACTGACATCAATTTTGCAGTGCTATAACTTTAATGAAAGGCCAATGGAAAATTCCTACAGGTGAAGAAATTCAATAGCATAAATGCAACAAAAAATTTATGCACTGGTTATTTAAAAAATTTTTGCACTAATTAGTGTCATGCAGGGTTGCCACTTAAACAGGAGAATGAAATTTCATGACTTTTCCACATGTGTTTCAAGAACATTCCAGGCTATCTGCATAAATTATTTATGGTACCAGTTAAAAATGTAAACATTTGCCATATATATACATAATGCCCAAAGCATTACTTTTATAACTATAATAGGAGCTGTTTTCTCCCCTGAGCATTGAGATTAGAATCTGCCCAATCCGGATTTAAAAATGTCTTTTCTGCAGACAGTTTGCAGCTAAACGAAAGAAATCTATTTACTGATATTTTAAAATAAATTCAAGTATTTTTATATTTATTTAGTATTATTATTTTTCCCATTTTACTTTTACTTACATATATAAGTAAAAGTAAAATGGGATGTAAGTAAAACTATGTGCACTAAATTTCATGATAGTATGTCATATTACTGCTAGAATCAGTTTCACAGGTATGCCAGAGAAAACTGCCTGAAAATTGAAAGTATTATTAACTAATAATAAATAAATTTAGAAGGAAAAAGACGCTTTAAATGATATGAATAACACTAAAATAAAGTGATTACTTAAGGATTAAAAACTGAATTACCAAAATCGACATTATTTTGGTGAATATAGGTATAGTAAATGGTTAGCCTAGATGACTGATGATTATTTTTCTTATTTTACTGCAAATGACAAATAAGGCATTTAAGAAAAAAGAAAAGGTTTAAAAGACTTTGTTTTATATGATAATGGAAGGGAATTTACTTTTATTCCGCATCCATAGCACATTCACATGCAAATCTCTGGATTCTCGAGGTTACTGGAAACCAAAGATGCTAGAAACTTGCTTTGCCTTTCAAAAAGACAATCTGATTGACACTGCAAAAATTGGCTCTATGCCAGCTGTCCGAATGATGCCAAGAAAGTGATCGCTTCTGACGTTGGCACAGAAATTGCTTTTTGGGAGATTACAGTATGAAATTTTCAGACTTTTCCCGATTTTGACTAAAATATTTAAATTCCCTGATTTTTACCAAGTAGTGTGGTAACCCTGTCATAGTCCGTAACAGGTTTAATTTCTCTGCCAAAATTAGTCCAAAATTGTTTCCTCTCGCAACAGTATGCATATTAAATCAAACTATATCAGTTTATTCTGCATCTAAAAAAATAAACTGAAAAATACTCTGAATGAAGAAAGTGAAGAATTAATTGCAATCTTATTTAAGAATTATTCTGGACAACTGTTACTTCTAAAATTTATTAACTACATATCATTCATTTACTATGGTAACCAATTAAAGATAATTCTATAGACTACCCATTAACAGTATTCTCAAATACAGTTAAAATTATCACCAGGTAAAGTATTAAATGTTAAGTGAATGTTGGACATAACATTTAATTGAATTTTACATATGTTACATAAAACTTAAATTAGAAGAAAAATAATGCAATTTATAAAGAAGATAATAATGTTTAGTTATAAGATCAATATTATAAAACAAATTTCAAAAATATATATTTTACTTCAGCTCTTTCTTTGATTTTTGGAATGGGAAATTTTACAACTTTCATCATTTCATACAGACTTTTCAGCACATTTTCTTCATAATCAGCATTGGCACAGGCAATTATCAAAACTTTACCTTTCTGCAGATTAAATAGGATTTTAGAATTATATACATAATGCATGAATGCAAACAGCAATTTTCAAAGTTAAAAATCACATAAAATGGCCACAAAAACCTTATCAACAAAAATAAAATGAAAATGTTTATTTATTGGTGTGAACAATTTTTAAATACTTATTAATATGAATTACAAATAAACCTCCAAAAGATGCATATAATATATTTCTACTTTGATGATTTACAAAAAATGGCACTACTGAATTTGATAAAATTAGAAATTTAATGGATGACTGCATGTGCATGAATTCAGAATAACTTAGATTTTTTTAAAAAAACCAATTCATAGGGTAATGGCATATTATCTAACTTCTTAAAGAGTTAGATAATATGGAATTCTTCAGCATAATTTATCTAACTTCTTCAAAAGAATTCTTAAAAAATAGCATGGGAGAAATCATACAGAATTTAAGAAAATCTTGCAATAAATACTATTTTTCTAGCACGAAAACACTTTATTCTTGTAACTATAACATGCTGGATGCAAAAAAAAAAAAAAAAAAAAAAAAAGGCAGTATTTTCAGTATGCTTATAAGGATTATAGTTACATTATGGGAACTGGTACTTGCCACTCACTTCCCAGTTTTCTGATGCTCGAGATATTTTACAGGAGGCTACACATCATTATTTTGAAAAGAAAGACATACCAAGTGAAACATAAAATTAGCACAACAACCTTCAGTTTGGTGTAGATTCACCTGCAAGTCAAGATCTCAATCTCAGTCTTGCAGATTTCTTTGCTCCTGATGTAGAGGAACATGTAACCTGCTTGCCCTCAAAATCAATAGAGATCTTCACGTAAATTTTATGCCAAACTCAAGTTTGTTGTGTTAACTAATTTTATCATTATTTTCTTTGGACATATGACTTAATTTTAAAATGAGGACTTTTTTTATACATGACCTTAGCAGTAACTATCACAATATACTATTTTACTGCCACAGGTATTTAATCATCTTAACGAGAGAAGAACATAATTAGCCCAAAATCTGTCCAGTTACATAAAGCCATTTATAAGCATATATAGTGAAACCTCAGATCATAAATGTTCATGAACAAATTACCTGAACAAAAAAATGCCTCATATGAGAAATGGTGGTTTCAGTTAACCCTTTGATGCGCGCGATGTTATTTTTATAATTTTTTTAACTAAAAACTCTAGAAACTGAATATTATGATCCTAGAGACAAATAATATATGAATTAAAAAAATCTACTCTTGCCCATTGTTCTGTGGGTGGTGGTCGCACTGTGAAACCACCGCACGTCTAGGACTTTGAAACTTACTGATGTAGTAGGAAAAAAAAACTTACCATTTTCTGCGCGCATTTCCAATAAATGACGAAATTTACGGATTAAAAAAAAAATGTATGTAAGAATTGCATTATATATAATTTTTTACATTATTTTACAAAGTAAATCATCACAAAAAATTAAAAAATAAACATTTATGTAATTTTTCTATAGCAGTGAAAATATAAGTACCTACATAATAAGGACATTTGGATAAATGGATTAAAAAACTCAATAAAATAAGGATAAAAAAGAACTCAGTTTTTTTTTTTTTTTTTTTTTTTTTTTTTTTGTGACACTGTTCAAAGTATGTTTTGTCTCTGGCACATGCATAGACTCCCATTGCACGTTTCGCACATACATCTTGTTCTATGAGGTTTCTTCCTTGTGCTACAAAATGTACACTGCCTGGATTTAAATTTCACTGGTATATTTCCAGCGTTGGTTAAATTTTTTTCATCTGGCACATGAAATTTGTGGTTTTTTATGTTAATGGAGAGGGGCTTGGTCTTTTTGGCTTTGTACGGATCGTTCGTTTCCCATCCATACGTATTTTATTCGTATTTCGTCCCAAAATATTCAGAAAATATTTTTAATTTAAATAAAACTTTTATGCAATTTCTATTTTTAATTATAGCAAAGTATATTTACATTAAATTTAAACCAGAGGAAATAATTTATGAAATCACAATACTAGCTTGGGGAGCAAGTGTGTTGATGTCAGAGAAAAGTATTTGGAAAAGAAAGACTTTTTTACTGGTGCATGTATTGTTTAGTAATAAAATAAACTCTGTGGTTTCAAAGCCCTTTATCTATATCCGGGTAAAAATAAACATTCCTATTTGGAAAGCAAGCGAACGCCATTGAGAAGCAAACGCCAGTGGTTTCAAGGCGCGACCACCGAGCCTCTAGAGGATTGTAAGCATTGTGACACAATGCTCTAGTGGAGCAGTGGTCGCGCCCTGAAACCACATAGCAAATGCCATACATATAGAGTTTTTTTTATATGTGCAGTTTAATTACTGCAATTTTTTATTGTTTATAAAAGAAATCATGATGTGCGATGACTAACTTTTGAAATTTAAAGTTGTTTATATTAATAAAAGAAAGTTATTTTGTCTCATCGTAAACTAATTTTAAAAGGCATCCGATCTGAAGTATTAATACCTAAAACATATATGATTCTACAGTCATTTTGTGTTATTTAGATGTAAAAGATCAGAAATCAATTCATTTTAACTCAAAACTTTCGGAAAAAAGAATTCGGAAAATGGTGGTTTCAGGGCGCAATCACCGCGCGTCAAAGGGTTAAGAACACCAAGTTTGCAATATATGATTTTCAAAGGTCATTTGAGGTACATGTGTCATATAATTAACACTCAGAAACCTTCTGGAAATATCATTTTAATATTTTCACAACCTGAAGTACACATAAATCACAATCTGAAAGGCACACACAAAAAGAACCACACTGCTGGCCATTAAATTGCAGTACCAGGATGGAATGATCTGATGAACGTCAAAATCATACGAAAGGAACAAGTTGGTTGAGATATGCAAATGATTAGTATTTCAGCACATTTACACAATGCAGGAGGGAGAAATGACATCTGAAGCACTGCATAAAAAAAAGTTGTGTGGTGGATTTCTCATTCAGAAAGTGCTTTGTAAGGTTAGAGTTTGCTCAGAATATCATGTTATGCATTGAACAGGGTTCGTACGCTTTTCTGCACACGGAAATTAAGTACTTTTAAGGACTTTTAAGGACCATTAATGAAAAAATTAAGGACCTATGAGCAAATGAGAACTGAACAAATTCAATTAAAAATACTATCTGTGCCTGAACTTCACTTTTGTAATACCGCCCTAAACATAAAAGTAGGATGCATTACTATTAAACATAACTTAATTAACATACCGTATATACCCGCGTATAAGTCGACCCCTCACTTCCGAAATCGATTGAGAAACTTCGAAAATTTTTTTATAAGTACTACATTTATTCAAAATCATCTGAGAAAAGAAAGGTAAATATATGATTGTCATCATTGGTTCGTCATCATATATATTTTCAGTCTTGAACTCTGTCGCGAACCAGCACACCTGATGGAAACACAACGTTTTTCGGTAAAGTTTTTCTTTTAAAAATGATCAACGGACGAAGCTTATTGCCGCAAAGAACGACTGTAAAATGGGTTTTTTCATGCCCGGTCGTTTTTATCAAAATGCTTTTTTCCCGCTTGCAGTCAATTGTTTTATTTTCAGGTAGACATGGGGGTTTTGTCCATATTCCCTATTTGGGAAAGTTCCTTTTCTTACATCGATAATGTATTTTTGAAACTCCATAAGCTTTGCTTCCAAGTCAGATAGTAACTTTTGCGACAGTTTGGTGCGTTGGCGTAAACACAAACCATGGCGATTCATAAATTTAGTGCACCAATGTGTTGATGCACGAAACGTGTTTGGAACACCATACTTTTCTTCTTTTGCAAGCTTCATTGCTTGTAAACGTATGCCAGTTCTAGTGACAATGAAAACATTCTGCCAGCACTCTAAAACCCAAGCATACAAGTCATTTTCGAGTTCTGGAAAAGGAGCTTTTCCATGTCGCGATGCCTTTTTCGATTTCGAGATTTTTTATGGCCCCGCCTATAAGTCGACCCCCCCACTTTGAAGTCTTTTTTTTTGTCCAAAATATCTTGACTTATACGTGGGTATATACGGTAATTATTAATAAGTTATAGAATAAAATAAAACTTTATGAAATTTATCAAGTAGCATTAAATATTTTACACTTATAATAGTTGGACATATTAGAAAGAAGATAAGTGACATTTTATTTACGTTTTACTAAGAGTTAGACTTATTAAGATTGTTGTTTCACTTCTAAATTAATAGTTAGCTTTATGTTGATTTTTTTGTCTCATTTTGGATAGGAACTAATGCAGCAAGTATGTGGAGAACAGAAACACACTCTGACTTACACTCCATACACCTCAGTTTAAAAACTATCTAAGCGAATTGCATTCTGATGAGAAAGCAGAAATGGGAAATTATAGTAAAGGCTGAAATTATAAACAACTGGGTAATTTACATAATAATAACTGTACATACTAATAGCAGCACACATGTTTGAAGAATTTTTCTTCAGCACGTTTCCTTTTCATTTTAGAATTTAAAGTAAAGATTTCTGTTATTCTAAAAACACTAAATTTAGAAAGCATAGAAAAAGCTGCTAATTTTATATCTTTAGTAATATGAACATTCAGAAGCAATATGAAATATATATGGTAAGGGCTGTGTAAAGATCGTGACTTGTAAAGATCATGACTTGTGAAGATCGTGACTTAAAGAGAACGTGAAATATAAATAATAGGACAAGAACTTGCATTTTACGGTGTGGCAACAAGAAGAGGATTCGGAAGATTTTTTAAATATTTTGTTTAGAGAGTTTAAGATTTTACTTTTTTAATAGTTGTAAGAGTTTAACTGTAGTAGTTAAGAGTTTAAAATTTTGAAAGTTAAGAGCTGCAACATTTATTTTTTTGGTTCTGTTTTAAAATTCAAATAAAAGTATTTTGTTCATTCTGAAAACTTAGCTTTATTCTTTCTACAAGATTCAATATTCATTATATTGAAATAAGGAAAGGATTTTTACTGGCGCAGTCAACAGGATCG